CCAACCCTGAAAACCTCAGGGCACCCCTGTGCAGAATCCCTAATTGTCAGAAAGTCGCTGACCCCCCCTCTCACAGGAAAGAGTAACAATTTTCTGTGATCCCAACTATGTACAACTTTTGGACCCAGATGGTGTGTTCTCTCTCTCTTTACATTTAAAAACCAAGCTGCCTCGACAGACTAATAAAAAGAATCAGATTCCTTCCTAGCACGGTAAGATCAATGAAAGAAAATATTCCAGATAGGTTGCTATGGGTTTAAAGCATTTTACCTGCTTGAATAAGCATGACCAGCTATACCTTTCATACCCCCTAGTCACTGTACCCATATTCTGGGTCAGGAGTATGGCAGCGAGACAGTCTATCCCTCTACGCTGCACTTCTCCCTCCTCCATATTGCATCGCTTTTGGTCCTGGCCCCTACTACTAGTCAAACAAAGAGCAGGAACTGTTCCCGTTTCATGTCACTTTGTCCTTTATGATGCACAGAGCACACTGACCTTCTCCGGAGTGGTGTCTGGATCCACAGAGAAATAGCCCAGCCTTTCAAACTGGTACTTCTCAAACACTTGGCAATTCTTTACAGACTGATCCACCAGAGCGTCAGATATAACAGTCAAAGAGTCCTGTGGAAACAAATAGGTTATCATCATTTCATGTGTCACAGAATAAATGTCTGGCTATGTGGATGAGGCTAGTATAACATTTCATTTCACATCTATCCCCCAGATCCCCATACAGGTTCTGTACCAGGTTTTAGTCTTACAAAAGAATCAGATTTCTGAGCATTTTATATGGTGTGCCACTTGAATTCCTACTCCTGTATTGTGCGCTCTGTGCTGCCTTTTTCAAGCGGCCCACAAAACTCATCCCACACTTTTGTAGGTTTTATACTTACAGTATTTACATCACTTAAAAATCCACCGGGCACCTCCGAAGGATCCTCTGGACTTTTGTGCATGAATCTGAAAGAAAAAAAATGATTAATGTGCATTTTCATTGGTGCTCCGTCATGTCCCCTGTACCCCAATCAGCCTTCAATAAATCGTACTCTTATCAGAGAATTCTACTGCATTCCTTAACCATCTGTCCCCTCATTTACTTCACGTACCCACCCCCGTTCCATCCACTGCACCCATTTACTGACAGTCTTCATCGTATCTATACAAACTCTATAGCACTTTACAGGTGCCTGATAAAGACACACTAGGCCAACAATGGACAGAAGCCGGTTCATTTATGTTTTTTGGATGAGAAGGAAACTGAATGGAAAAAAAGCCACACAGACAGTCCCGAGTGGGAATAATGCAGAACCATGGCAGTGTCCACCAAGAGCAGCACCTAGTCTTTGTGCTGTTACATTTGCATGTGCCTGATGCAGCTGCACAAATACAGTTTTAAACAGAGGCACATTGCCACCGGCAGGCTGAAGAGGTTTAATTTCAAGACAATACTCAAGACTGCATGTGATTACTGTGACTGGCTGTCATAGTAAATCACATGATTGGGAACCACAATGATTGGTTAGACTAGAGCTGTCAGAGACATTGCAGTCTGACAGCCAGGGGTGTATTTTGGCTTGGGGCTCAAGACAAAAAACTCTGGCACCCCCTCCCCTCCGGCCCTCTTCTGCCCGAGCTGCTGACCAAAGCTGAGAGGACTAGGGAGCTGCCCCCTCCGCCTCCTTTTCCCATCACCCCCCCCCCCCCCACGCCCCGGGGGCCGACCCCCCCC